GGAATAACCTTCCTTGGATTACCTATACCTCTGGTCTATAATAATATAAAGCAAAACTCCTTTTATCAAAAGTATTCTTGTGTATCCCTAAAAATGTAATTAACCAGTAGGAACACGTTCCTTTGGGAGTGCTCTTGACCCTAGAACAGGTACATACACCTGACTCTCTGGTTATGGGTAGCCTACGTAGATATTTCTTTCACGGATATCGGTCCAAGGTGCCTCCGCACGATCTTGTTTGGTCGTACATGCTTGACCTATCCTTGCGAGGTTTAGCTTTTTCTCTTGTTTGTCATTTTATCGTATGTCCCTTTTTATTCAGTTCCTCTCCTCTTGTTCCTCTCCTCTTCCTCTTCGAATTACCGGTATGATTTGGGAGGGAGATTTATTCGAATAAGGGAAGCATACGATGATCGACAAGCTGACGACTCCTTTAAAAAAAACAAAAAATGAACGGAAACAATCTAACGACTCCATTGGGGAAGAGTCTCTCTCTCCATACTTTAAGCTTCGCTTCTAGGCTATAACCTCTCTCCGTACTAGGAGTTTCGCTCATATTATCGTGACTTGGTTTTCTTCCTTCGAGTCAAAGTTGAGCCCTTTTGTGAGACCTTGGTTTTCAGTCTATGCATTATATGCTAGGGGTGGCAACTCGATGCGTTCTGCCCCTTCTCTCTCCCTTGACAGTTCGATTGCTGCATTATTGTATGCATCGATGTCATTGTACTTTATGATCGGTTTTCTTAACCTTTCCCTATTTTTGATCGTTGTCCCTTTTTGCCCCGCGACACGTAAGAGCAAGAAGATGGATACGTTAGCTACCGCCAGGGGAACCCTTTCCCTTCTCTCCGAGCGTTTTCTGTGCTCTTGAAGGGGTCATTCATTTTGTTTCTTCCTAGCACCCTTATGGGATTACCTTACGTAATCCTACGTCCTCTGAGACGTTTGGTCTGTGCCCTCCCCCTTAAAAGGGGAGACATGCATATTGAGTTTTTTCTATGCCCTCTGAGGCATTTGTTCGTGCCCTCCTTCCTTAAAAGGAGAGTTGTGCATATCGAGTTGTTTTTGTTGCAATAGCTCTAGTCGCTTCCGCTTCTTTTGCAAAGAAAGGCCGACGCTCGATAGCGATGCGACACAGCACTTGACTGTCTTTTCCACACCAGTGCCTCCGTGTTCTCACAGATCTCACTATCATAGGCAGGTGAGTCTTCAATTAGTAGTTGGTTTGTCTCTGCTATCGTCGTTGTGACTTTTATCTCAACTCTCTTTCTATTCCGGTTACCCTCAGGATCCACCTGTCCTTTGATTAGGTAGGAAGGCCAAGAGAACTAGGAATAGATTGCTACAAATTTAGTAGCATGTTATGCTTCACGTTTCTATACCTGTTCTGACTCCATTTAAGGAGTTACCTTTAGCTCTTTGAATTGAGAGTCATTTTGCTACTGTCTTCTGTTGTGCGAACCATGTCTCTATTGGACGTCTACCGCATGCCCACCTTTGAAAAGGAGGAGTGGTGCATGTGATACCTCTTTCGTTTCAGCAGCTCGTATCAATGCTACTTTCCATCAAGGAAGGAGCTAGTACCAGATGGCTATGCGTTGCGACAATCTTTCTTGCTTTTTAGCCTCTTTTGTAGTCCTTCCATGTTTTGAGGATTTTCATCCTCATGAATGTTGCATTATCTATATTATTCTTCAAAATGTCGCCTAATCTTCTAGATAGAAGTCTAACAAAAGTTTTGTGGTGTGTGGTGACACATAAAAATCTCCCACCATTTATACAAATTGATGCGTATGCATCTTTTCAAAACCTTTATTTGCAACATGTTTCACTCGCACAAATTAAAGCACCACACTTTAATCAAATCACTTTTGGAAGGAGGAATTGTTCATTTGGTGCCCATACTCAAAATGAAGGTGGTTTTCAGATAACTATAAATATTTGTTGTTCATTTAACAAAAAGGGCTAAATAGGTTAGAATACCTCATTGCAATCCATCCAAGCAACAATAGGTTTGAAGTGAGCTGTCAAATTTTTGTTGCTTTGCTCAAGCATTTAGATATGTTTGCATCAGTGCTGGATGGGCACAACAACTGCATCAAAAGTAATATTTATTTTGCATTGACCGTAATATTGCTTGGAATGAGCCATGTAAATGGAGAATTAAAGATTTTGATTTTTGTGAAAATTAGTACAAGTGAGAATGATGTTGGTGAGAGTCTTTGTTCTGTGTTCCTTGAATTTTCCAAGAAGGGTCAGGGGAATTGAGCTTGACCTACCAAAGAAGCAATTTGATGGCGGTCAACCTATGACTGTCAACCTTTATTTGTTTTTCAATTTTGTATCATGATATAGCTTTTTTTGCCATGCTTCATATTTTTTCTTATTGAGTTTTTTTCTACCCATAAGAGCAAAAAGAGGAGTAAGATGTGAGCTTTGGTGCTCTTTCTACATCAAACATGATTTCTTGGGTTTAGTTATAATACTGATTGTTGGGTTTCCATCACTCTTTGCCTTCTTATTTGGGTTCGCAATTAACTTGTAGAACATTCAAACAAGATAAAAGCCATCACGAAGCAAAGGAAGATGTTTTGTTGTACAAAAAAATTACTTGTCATGTATTCCATGAGGATAAAGATAATTTTACAAATGACATACATCTTTTCATGCAAAAGGTTGTATGTATGTAAAAATTAAAATTTAGTTGTTAGATATGTGAGTAGTTTAGAACTTAGTGGTATGTAAGCTAACATTTTGTTAAATGGAATTTTGTGTTGCTCTAATAGTTAAATTTGAAAGCACACTCATGCCCAAACCGGACACTAATTCATGAATATATAGTTCTTGACTTTAATGTTAGTTGAATTTTTGTCTTTATCTGTATGCTCAAATGTGTGTAAATATATCTACTAGTTCATGTATGAAAGAAATTATTATAAAATAGTACTCTACTTGCTGGTTCAATATTTGGTCTTTTGTGTTAAGCTAATAGTATTATTATTCACGGTGCAGGCCTATATACCTAGAAATGAAGCTGCATAATTTGATTATGCACACAAGTATCTATAAAAATGTATTAGAAATGTAGGGTTTTTTATTTTTTATTTTAATGAAAAATAAAACATTAAGTGTTAGTTTATGTAAACCTTAAAGAATATTTTATAAACAATTTTTTTTTAAAATTTGATTTTTTTTTGGAATTATACATCAAAAAGTTGTCAGCGCCTTTTTTAAAGAGATTTGAAGGTCAATAGGGGAAGAGTACGATAAGGACAAGCCCAATGTTAGGAGATCGTAGAGCCACCTGACTAAATGAGCTAAGCCAACCAGGCCAAAACGGACTAATATGACTGAATAATCCTAAGGAAGACCTGGTTCCCAATATACATCAAATAGTCACTTGGCTAACAAGAATATGACTGAATGATCCAGACACAAGCATGTAACAAAAGATGAGATAAAAAAACATCTGAGTCACGAACTACATTAAAGTCACTCTATGAGATAGTCAACCCCTGGCAAAGTCAATCCAAAGGAAGACCTGGTTCCACAAAGTTTGTTCAACTATCCCGTGGAGACACTAAAGGCTCCTCACCAAGGATTGAAAATAGCCAACCAAGCTGGATCAATCAATCAGACCACACCGACAAAGCTCAGTCGACCGAACACCCCGTCGACTCAAAATCAACTAAGCTTAGTCAATTGAGTCAGAAGACGATTATATGACTAACTATACATGTAAAATATTAGAAATACCTTTGTGCATACCCGTTCTTAACAGAGACAAAAGTGTAATATTACATTTTATCAATTCTCTTATAGATATAGATCATTTTATGAAAGAGACACTATTCATCACTGCTCATCACTCCTCTCTGCTTATTTATTCATACTTTAAGCTATATTATTTGTGTTTGATTCACCAACAATCTTGAATTCAATAATAATAACAACAACAAATCTTCCTCACTAAGTAGGGCCAGCTACATGAACCTTTTTTTTTTCCATTATATCCTATTAAGATCATATTTTCATTTTATTCTAATAAGTTAAAATTATTTTTAATACAATATGCTAGTTTTTTTTAGATCCATCTCTGCCTTTCTTAAAATGAGTTGAATCTAAACATCTTCTTTCCTAACATCATCAGCAGATGGTCAATGTTTAATATGACATAGTAGAATATTTAACTCTTCATGCTTCTAACCAAACAACAACAACAACAAAACCCCTTACATTTAGTTTAAAAACAACAAATAACTTCAAAATATTCAATATTATAATATGAGTACTCTACAAATGTTTTAGATTGTATTTCATTCCCTTCAAATTGGCACTAACATTGATGTATGTATATTTCAGCAATTATATATATAGTGTAATTCTATCTGGGGATTCACCTGGTGGCCAACTTTTGCAAGTGGTGCACTAACTTACGCATCCGGCACGTGCCCATTGACTCCATCTGGAACGCACGGTACATGCACTTATGCAGTGTTTCTAGAGAGACAACGCCATTATTTACACGTGTCTAGTGGTAACCATCGTGGTCTGAAAGACCGGTGCAATATAGAAAGCATGTTAGCGGGGGATTAACCTGGCCGACGCGCTTGCCGAGCGAGATGAAAAGAAACGGTGCCACGTGGACCCCACCTGTCATTTTAAACAAAAGCTGGAGCCACCAATAAGCTGCCACGTGGACAATGTTTTCTCACGTGCGGAACAAAACGCACACTCGCCAAACGGTCCACAGTATTCTAATAGCCACCCCCCCTCCCCGCGCCGCCATTAATCACCTTCCCCAAATCGGAAGACCACGGCCACTTCGCCGCCATGAATCTATCCACGAGCTGAAAGCAAAATTCTGATTATTCTACTCCCAATCCCAACTGAAAAAATCCATTCTTTCCATCTATATCAACTTCTCACTTGATATTTACATATGTACACAACCTCTAATCTAAGAAGTAGATTAAACTTAATATTAGTCATTGCTGGTAAAAAAAAAACGTTTCTTTTCTATCTAAGCCATCTTCTTCTTCCTCGCCACAAAGACAAGCGTGCAGACCAGTTGGAAGCCAACTCATGTATATATTTATATATAGGTGAAGACAACACAGTAAAGAGAAACTGCTATTGGGGCTTTGTCTAGCTTCTTTAAAATTCAAGGATAAGGCTACTGAAAGGGGCACGATGCGGAATGCCCTTCCTCCTCCTAGCGCCGCGGAAGCTAATAACGGTCGGCGAGAGAGCTGAAAGGTTGAAGCTTTGCACCACTGTGCTTTTTTCGCTGCCATGGCTCGTACCAGAGTGGGACTCCCCTGAACCCGATGTAGCATTTCCTCGATTCCTCGTCCTCTTCTTCTTCATGTTCGGGTCATTAGAAGTGCCGACTAACTGCAAAGCCATGAACTTTTTAGAGAAAAAAGATTTAGATGTGTAGTAATAGAAGGGGGGAGAAAGGTGTGACCTTGCAGCCGAGAGAGCAGAAGCGGAAGGAGTCGAGGAGGCTGCGCTCACAAACTTCGCAGGTGTTTGTGACGCCCTTTCCCGGCCTTGGCTGGGGCCGCTCGTTGAGGAAGACGACGCGGGCGCTATTGATGATGTAGGTTTGCACGCCGCTGATGTCCAGAACTTTTTGAATCTCAGAAACTCTTATAACATCGTGGTATGATGACCTCCTTATCTGCATTCATCAAGACGATTAAACCAATTCCACTCAGTTGCAGGCTTGCAGCATAAAAGAGCATTGGCAGAGACAGAGAAAAGAATAAAAAAGACTGACTTGAATTGCTCTGTGGTCGCGATGGTAGGCGAGGCAGAGGGAGCAGAACGCACCATTCGTGCAGTCAAGGCAATACATGTTACACTCGCTCTTGTGCGACTCAGTGTGATGCTTGCATTGAACGAAGAAGCTCGTCGAAAGAAGAGGCGACAGCCATGGCGGCCACCTGTTCTCATCCTCTACCCCCTGTGATGACCATCCAATACCGATGAGAAGAAAATAAACATCATTTCAACCAAGGAAATAAACTTAGTAAGCCAAGCGCCATCCTATGTTAACTCACCATGGATTTCTTGTACTGCTTCAGCTCCTTGCGCGGGGAATTCTGATCAATCGCCAGCTTTTTGTCCAGAGCGTCTCTTCCGTTCTATAAGAAATGGAGAAAAGCAGAAACCTTTCTCTGTTAAGGAAGCAGGGAAAAATGGAGAAAGGAAGCAAAAGAAAACGAGCAGGAGAAGGGAAGGTTTTGTAGGAAGAGAAGGGAGGATGATGAGTTCGGTCGTTCTTATCCGCTCAAAGTCTCCGTTCCAACCCTTCGCCTCAGCGACCGACCCACGCAAGATGCTTTGTTTGCAAGTAAACCTCTTTTAATTTTTATGGCTACCCACTTCCATTATTTATCACTTTGCCCCCTCTGAAATATGTATTATTGAACTTCCAAGAAGCAAGTTTGCAGCTTCTTACTTCATTCATTGTTGTCATGTATGGCCACACTGTTGGCCGCCAACTGCATCATTCATTGACGATTGTGGATAATTGCCATGTCCTAATCATACTCTACCCAATTGCTAAACTTTAAGACATCATTGAAATGCCTTTTAACTAGTGGGCAAAATGACATATTTCCACTACTCTGTTCCTCAACATTTTTTCTGCTCTTTTTTTTTTTTTTTTGGTTTGATTTCGTCATATCTATCACAAAGAGGTGACCTTTACTTTAATATGTGTATAACACAATTTTTAGGAGACTAAGTCATTGCACAGATTAAGTGTCTGTTTGGGGTAACAACTGACAACTGCTGTGCAGAAGCTGATACTGATAAATTGGCTGGCGGTTTGTTTTCTCCAGTTTAAAAACAGCTGTGATGCAGTTGTTTCTGAATAAATGATTATTTTGTCTGTGTGCAGTAGTGTTGTTTGCAACAGTCATAACAATATATTTGATATTTGAGAAATAATAATCTATTTCAGAAAAATATAAAAATAAGATGTATACATACTAAACAGTGAATATCATGATTAATAAAATTAAAAAAAAATTATAAAAATAACATTTAATAATATAATAATATTCTTTTAAAAATACAAATGATGCATGTCACATCATTTCGTATTTCATCATTATCATACCTATTATCACAAATATTATCATTACTACATTTATGGGCATTATCATATCTACCAAACAATCATAATAATAGTGCTGCTAATTGCAAAGATGCCATAAGAAGTGATCTAATACATATAAGCCTAAAATATGATATCAGGAGACAAAAACCCAATGTCGTCCGATTTATATTCCTAAATTATAACATTATGCCAAAAAGGCCTCACAGTTGAGGATTCAAATATAAACACATACATCTTATGTATATAAACTTAGATTTCAGAACAATAATGACCATGATAACAATGGTGCCCAAGAACACCTTTTTTTTTTAAATAATCATTACCTTTTTATACTCTTCCAAGAAGTTCATAGAAGGAATTAAAGAAAATCTTCTAAAGTTTCAATCTACTTTTTTGGATTTTGAATTTATGTTGCAATTTGGCTAATTTGAAAATCAAACCATACAAAACTACTGAATCCTCGCCCCAACTCAAAATTCTCAATTTGTTCTGATTATTTTTGAGCTGATTGCTACTTAGTTGATAGTAATAATTAGTGTTGTCAAATAGAGAATGATATGCACTATTTTAAGTAGATTTCTATATTCACAATACTTCAGTTTTATACTTATATTGCACAACTGTTAACAAAGACCAAGCTATTTTGAGCTGTTATATTTGTCTCCTTAAACTCCCCATTTTTGTGTCTTTTTTCTCACTACTGATACTAGTGCTGCTAATTAATGCTTTTAAGAATTGCATTATTATAATGAACAAAAAAGACATTGAATGGAAGATTGTCTTTCGAAGGTTTTTAATACCAGCTGCAAGAAACCAATAAACATCTCAACGGTGATTCTCCTCTAATTAGAATTGCATTGCCTGTTTAATTTTCTTACTGTTTTGCTCAACTTCCCATGCACAATGTGGACAATTTGCTAAAAAGTATGAAAAATAACAAAAATGGTCACACAATCATGCTTACTACGAGCTTCTAGATAGCAAACCAGCCAGAAAAGTGAATTTTCAAGCCACAAGCATACAAAAATGACACACCAAAACACACAACAAAAGAAATAAGTCAGTCTCAGAGCAGGGCATAAATTATCAGGTACGCATCGAGAGTGCAAGGAGGAAGAGCCAGACGAAGGCACTGAATGGTGACATCCCGATCTTTCTCAGTCCCATTCCTCAATAACTCAATAAATTTCTAACACAAATCATAAAAAAAAAGGCAATCCTCTGTCGTTGAAGCATCATCACCTTTCAAAAAAGGGCTTGCTTATGAAGCCGAAAGAGTATCCGGTGGTCCTTAACACCACCGACACGTGCCCCATAGCAATCGACGTCGCCTACTTCGATGCTTTGGCGGATTAGATGGATGAGAAGGCGATACTGGTAGGAGGAAGAAGAGGAAGGAGGGGAGGGAGAAGATAGCCAGAGGAGCCTTCGATGAGGTGGTCGGATTTGGCAAAACTTATGACAAGGGAATCCAAATCCTCCCAATTCCCGTCGTGGATTCCATACCACAAGCTCCAAGAGTGCTTGAATGGATGACAAAAGGGTCGAGAAGGGCAGCGGCACAAAATTGCACATGGTAGTGGGGTACAAACGCGGGCCGCGGAGTCGTACCCGTAGCCTCATTTTAATAACATTTTTAAAAATGCCGCCACGACATGATAATCAAAAGCCAAATATCGTGTTTTTGGGTAGTATCGCACGAAAAAAAACTGCGCCAAATGAAGCATAATACTATGTGGACAATGAGCGAAAATGAATGAGAGCTTTTCGAGATGGTATTTATCATTAGGAGGGGCAATAAAATTTCAAATAAATCTCAAATGAAAAATAATACATTGTGTTTGAATATGTAGCAAATTGGAGGCAAATAAAATGAAAAGTTCCAAACCACTGGGTTCAAGCACTTCCTTACGCAAAAATAATAGTAATAATAAAAATAATTCGCTTAATAATATGAGAAGCACTTTTAATCTCCAATAAGCCACAAAATATAATAATATTTGAAGTTATATATTTAATCCAATATAATAGCTAGGATAAATAGAAGGAAAATTTTAAAATGAAAATGATATTAATGGTACAAGGAAGCATCTTAGATTGAGTTGGTAGTGCTTGATGTCAATTCTTCTCCTTTGGTGAAGCACCTTCGTTAGATTTAGGGTTTATTTGAGGTAGCAGCAATTTTTTTAAAAAGGTTGTTGTAAAATTGTGATGAGAAAATAACTTCTTGAAAAGCTGTAGTGAGAATCATAAATGTATATATATTTTTTTCACGAAAATCAAATAATAGTTTACTAATAGCAGTTGAATTTTAGTAGTTCAGATTAAAAAAAAATTGTTCTCCACCAGAAAAAATTTTAGAAAACAAGAAGAAAAATTAATCTCCTAAGCAGAACAATGGTAGAGGTTTGAAGAAAAGTAGATAGAAAGTTGTCCGAGACTTATGGGGAAAAGATTAGAAGACTATGAAAATTATAGATTGAGTCAAACCTTGATTTGGTTTTATTAAAAAATTATTTAATCTATTAGAGAGGACGAACAAAATTAATTGGAGAGAATGAGAGCCGAAAGTATGAGAGATCATATTGAAATTAAGTTTTGAACAAAAGGTACAAAGTTATGTTAGGCCCAAATATGAGCTTTGATACATATTGTTATAAGTGAAAGCTAGAGATGTTTTAGAGGAAGACATCGGATAAGAAAAAAATTGTAATGGAGGTTAGGGTAACTAAATTGCATAGGAAAAAAGCTTGATAAGCTACTATTCACTAACAAGGAAATTTGGAAAAGTTGAGAGCTTGCCCGTTAATAAGTTCATACGACAAAATTCCTAGAGTAATACAAAATGTAAAGGTTGACTTGACTCCTAGAAGAATTAACAAATGCCATATGACGTATGTTGGCATCATTTTTGGCTCATTATTTGATGGTGCTGCCTCAAGCAATGCCTTAGGACCCAAACCATTGTCCTCCATGACAATTGTGCTTGAATTTTATTAAATGAAGGTTTGGCGGTGTGGTGCCGCTATACCACACTACAATGCCATCCTATTATTAGTATTACCATGCTACCCATATGTACTGAGTTGCCATGATTTGCATGATTGGAATTGTGCTGCGGTGCCACACAAGGCAAAATGCATCTTGTGAACATGGTTTATCGTTATGTGAAACCGGCTTTTTATCGCAGAGCTACACCTTTGATGTCAACCAAATTGATGGTTACTATCATTTCAGACACATAAATAAGATGATGTCTTGATTTGGATCTAGCACCTCAATACCTAACCTTGGCACACTAGGCTCCATCAATTAATTTGTTGATGAAATGACATTTCAGGTGTGACAAAGTGATTCAACTGCGTTTTGAGAAAATATGGCCTCCACACTACAATACTAAGACTAAGCACCATGATGCCCAATCAACTGATTGAATGGTGATTGTTTGTAATGGGTGAAAACCTTATGTCTTTGTTTAATGCATTGGCCAGGTCAAAGGCCAGCATGACAACATTGTCTCCCGATGTCGTAATGTCAGTAAATTTATAAATATGACCCAAAGCCAAACCAAATTGTTTTGACCCGTAGCTCTTTGAGTATTGACGCTTCAAAACTTACCGCGAAGTAAGTTGTTTATACGGTGCAGGTACACGTTCATGTAGTATGTAGTTTAAGAGTCCGCATATCGATCTCACGAGGAAAGATTAACAATTATTTCTATAGAAAAATCTCAAGCCTAATAATTTGGTTAACCTAGCTTGGAGATTGCAAAGATGTTTTAAGTTCTAAGGCTCTAGTAAAAGCAAAGTGAATGACAGACAATAGAGAATAGAAACAACATAATGGTTTTTTTAGTTCCTTCGAGATGGATGAGGCTTATGTCTCTGTGATTCGGGTATCGTGGTGATCATAATTTTCTTAAAAGTTTTCCTACATGATTTTTGTCAATTGACGATATAATACTCCATATGCTTATATCTAGGTCAAATGAAGCTTAAATTCCATGAAGTTGAGGCTTCCTTAATCCCCGTGACATTCTGCATCACTATTCTAATCCCGTAAAATGATTATAGAATTCCAACGGAATATATCTATTCTTTTGAAATTTTGTGGTTAATCTTTTTTTTCTACTACGCAACGGTTAGAGACTGTAGCTTAACAAAACATTTTAACATTCTAGTTGGTCAGACTAGGATTAAATTAAGTTCGTAAGTTAACCAACAACATAGACTATGAAAGTATGAGCTAACACTAACATAAAAAGTTTACAAAAAAATCATGATTAAATCCACTACACTTACATCACAAAGATGCAAAGAATGAGTTTAGCCACACATCGTCAAGAAAACCATAATGAGGAAAACTATGAAGGATTTCATTGCA